GTAATCTGGCCCTGCTTAGAACCGTTTAATAAAAGAATTGACATCTCCAAAAGCGAAAAGTTGTTTAAGAACTCTTTATTAGAAAAAATGAATTTCGAAATGCTTATATCTCACTCACTTCTTGCTTAGAAACTTGAGTATCCCATCAATTATATTAGAAACAGAAACAAATAAACCATTCAAAAGATAACCATATATGCCAGTGAATCGCCGAAATTATTCCTCCAAAATGCTAATTCACTCAAAATGGCAATTGAAAAAAAGAGACAGAAATTTCAGATGATTAAAATTAAGGACCTTCTGCTGATTATGGCCAAAATTAAGGACTTTTAAGGACCAAACGAACCCTGTATTAATTCAGCACTGGGAGATAAGCTAAAGCTGCTCTTTTTCCCTCCTGAATTTTGATATATGGTTATTGATCAAGGATATATGTATAATTCGTAAATTAATATGACTGTAGATATACTTCCAATATACAGCTTGTGTAACTTAATCTAGCCCTTAACTGACCATGTGAACAATTGTGAAACACAAAATAATTACCACATATCAGATACGCGAATACTGTTTTTAAGAATCTCAGAAGGGGGGGGGAGAAATACTAAATTTGTTACAGATGGCCATAAGCTAAAACATTTAATTTTTATTCCGTTGTTATTTCTAATATCTCTTGTCTGACCAAATCAGAAAAACGTACAGATTTTACTGTAGTGAGACTGCAGTGACTGTAGTGTTACTGTAGTGAGACATCACCTTCCAACCTACTGCAATGCATGGTACACCGCATGTATACATCATGCACCAACTCCAATTATGCCTAAGCACTAGTGCACATATCAGTGAACATCAGTACCTACCGTGACTTAGATAATTCTCTTAAACTTGTTCACTGCCATAGTAACTGTGCAACCATTGTGACTGTGTACTGAAATTACTGTGCCTAACATAGTGTCTGCGCTGTAGCGACTGTACCAACCTATAGCAATTGCGTTAAAACTTAGTGACTGTGCCAAACTCCAAATTTAGTGCTATTAGTACCACAGTGTACACTAAACTTTAGTGTAGCCTGAACTCTTGCAAATTTGAACTATAGTGCAGACTGTACTTTCAGCGAACTCTAACACTAACTCCTGGCACCACAACTCTACATCCGGTACTCATTGCTTCATCTCTGTGTTTAAGTACTCACAGCACATTTACAACCACAAGGATACCAGCAATACACATATGACTCCCTTTACCCAATTCTGTATTCTAGGTTTTTTTTTTTTTTTTTTTTTTTTTTTTTTTTTTAAGTATTTAAGGTTTTTACTCTTGTATTCCTCTTGTTTTTACTCTTGTATCTTACATGTGTGTCTCTCTTCATATTTATCTTAATATCAATGCTCCTTATGTTAGTACCTGTTTGTTTTTGCTTGTACATGTATCTATTCTTGTATTTGTTTTGTATATTTTTATGTATCTGTGTTATTCCAACGGCCATGCACACCTACAAAGTTATTGTCACGCAATCATTGTCAAACAATAATCCTCAGCCCCTGTTTGGTCATGTATTGATCTTTAGATCTGTATTTGCGAACATAATCTTGAGTAGCATTCTGCCAAAACCCTTAGAATCATCCAGAAGGGGTGTTAATTATGTGTAGCATGACAAAAGGACACACGAGGGTCCTCTTTTCAGCAGAAAGAGAAAATTTACTACAAAGGAGGGAAAGATCCAATGTCATTAGAGGATCGTGCCTTTGAATGCTTTTCACACATTTGTTTCATATGAGAAGAAGTTAAGATTCCTATTGATTTGAAACCTGGAAACCAGGCATGTTCAATTTTTTTCTCAACACTGCATATGCCATCGCTTACCTTAAAAAATAAAACTACTAAAAATAATAGAACTATATTTTTAGCAGAAGTATACTTTTTACAGCATAGAAAAAAAAAGGGGGTCTAGTTTTCACCTTATTTGAGCAGTATATGTCCATCGTAGTTGACTTAATGTGACATTTGCTACTATTCTAGTTGTAACATTTACCAGTATTGTAATGTGAAATTTGTCAGTATTGCAAGGATTTTTCCCCGCTAAAATAAATTTTGTGGTTTTTCCAGCCAGTAAAACAATTATGTAACGTATATACATTTAAGTTCAAAAGTAAAATATATATGTACGTAGGTTGGGGCAAAAGTCATGGCAACTATTTTTTTTCTTGAAGATACCAGTCTGGTTAGAAAATGCGACATATACAGACGAAAAGACAAGGTCTTAACTACATGTGTGGACAATGAACAGCACTGAAATATCGTAGAACACGAATTTATTATGGTAGTATACAGGGCAATATGGCCTTCACTGTGCAAAAGAATAACACAATACACATAAAGTTTACATGACAAACCTGGGCCTAAAGATCCTCAATGTAGTCCCCTGCTACTGTCACAACACGCTGCCAACGATGTGGTAAGTGCTGAATACCATCAGCCTCAACATTTGCTGCCCCACGTGTGAATCGGGTCATCTGTGTGCGCACAGCATTAGCAATGTCCTCTCGTGTTGCAAACCACCTACCACGAATTGGTTCTTTAATCTTGGGAATGAGATCAAAGTCACAGGACAAAATGTCAGGAGAGTACGGTGGGTGCTCCAATTTTTCCTATCCTTAAGGTCGGAGTAGCTGCTGTACACACTCTGCGGCTAATCTTTGGAATATGGTAACAGGTAGTTTGGCGACATTTTGGTAAGGCGATAAAGGTTACTAGCTAGGACTTTAGCAACGTACATGCATACAGTCAAGAGTGTGTGCAATGCCATTGTGCAATTCTGGGATGTTTTTTTAAGTGAAAATAGGTCGACGTGTACATGGATGATACCGTGTATGTATAATTCTTAAAAACGCAGCAAACAGCGGGCGATTCTGCACTTTCTCACAATTTCGCACCTAATCTTCGTCATGATTAAGCACTTTTGTTCCATAAAAGTTCTAGCATATGCGTAATTCGACTAGCAAATTGTTGGAAAAAAATGTTGAGTAAAAGAAAGAGAGAGAAAAAAAAAAAAAAAAAAAAAAAAAAAGACTTTACTTCGTGAAAACAAAATGGCGTCCAAACAAAAACTAGCAGGTTGCTGTAGCAGGGTTGGTCGCCAAATTTTCGCCAAAAAATCACCAAGTTACCATAATCTAAAGATTAACTCACTCTGCTTTATGTGGTCTTACATTGTCGTGCAGAATTATTGCACTGTCCACAAGATCCGGACGTTTATCCCGAACGCCAAGTCGTACCTGTTGCACCAGGAAGTCCCTGTAGTACTGTGCGGTCACTGTTCTGCCATGAGGAACAAAGTGGCAAACAATGACACACCTGACATCATACGCGACGATCACCATCAATTTGACTGAGGCAGATTTTCTGCTGTCTTGGTGATCTAGGATGTCGCCACTCCGCGGACTGATGTTTCAGTTCTGGTTCGTATGCCCTGGACCAAAATTAATCGCTGGAGATTATTCGTGACAGGAATTGATCGTCGTGCTGTACCCAGCATTCAGAGTGGTCAGAGCATATTGCATAGCGCACCCACCTTTGAACTTCTATCAGTGCGTGTGGTACCCACCGCGAAGCAATTTTGCATAGCTGTAGCTCATTACGCAATATCCTGTTGACGGTGCATTTCTCGATGCCACTTGCCCTCTCTAACTCCAGTAACGTTCATTGTCTGTCTTCATCCATGAGGTGCTCAATGATGGCATGTGCCAAGACGGTCCGCACACTCACGGATCATCCCGAACGTTGCTCATCACTGGTTGACACACGTCCTTGCTGAAACTTTCCTACCCAGCGTGCTATTGTACGATATGGTAGGGCATTCTTCCCAAGGGCTTCTACTAATTCACTGTGACATTCCATGGCATTTCTCCCTCGGAGAAACGGCTATTTTGATGTAAGTGCCCTGCTCAACACGGGTTACTTCCATCTCGCATGATGCTCACCAACCGACTGATTTCAGAGCCCTCACTACCACAGAGCCATCTGTTGTTCTACATACACACTATGCCTGCAGAACTTCCACACAACACATATACGTTTTGTGATCCGTTCACATATCTACACGAAAAAATAGTTGCCATGACTTTTGTCCCAACCCTCGTATATATAATAATTATTTACTATCGTAAAAGTATTATAATAATATTATTAGAATTCATTACACTAATACCATAATAAAAATTGCACAATAAAATATAAAAATTAACAATAGTTTTTAATTACTTAAAAACTGTTATACAACTGCAATTTATTATTAAATTATGCCTATATAATAAAATTAAGTTTCAAAGACACTCTTATTTTATCAATATATGAATGAAAAAATAAATGGACAAAATTAAACACAATGTAACAAAACAGCTAATTACAAATTATGATTATAGTTTAGCTCAGATTACTTAAAAGTAATTTTTATCTTAACTCTGTGGTCTTTGAATGCTGCAAAAATAAACATGGAAAAATAAATAAAGAAAAAAAATCCCAACTGCATGATCCATGCCCATCCTCCATATTTCATGTATAAAACAGTCTGAATGGTGCATTCACATTTGCATGCATGGTTGCAGCAGCCAAACTGTATGGTAATAGATGTAGAAGATTCATAAATGGAAGTTTCAGGAAAGGCTTCTGGCCAGACGACAGGATATACTTCCTATCTAATAAATGACGATAATACTACCAAATTTCAACCCCCCTATTTTCCATACTCTTAGCTTTTCAGGATTGAATATATTTATGCAATATATTTATATTGTTCTTTACAAGACTTTGTGGAACTTCAGTAACTTATAATTTATTTTTTTACTTTTTATACTCTTCACAGGCACATATCTTACTCTTATTTGAATGTTTAAAGACTTCTTAAAATTATTTAATCACAACTAATTATAAAAGAGATCTGATCTAAATTTAGTTCATTTAGGAACACATGGATAAAAATATTTTTCAACAATTGGTCTTACCTATTGAAATATGTCTTGATGTACCAAGAAGAAAATAAATAATTACAGGAAAAAATGAAACATATAATCCATTTTCTGGTCGCAGAGCTGCCAAGACTCCATAAGCCATACCTAAAAGTAAAGCAGTAGTCTTATAATGAATATACTGTACTAATATGTTAAAGCATACAATCAGGAGTATAACTCCATATTCTAAATTATAGTTATTTATTAAGAGTTCGAATTTAACAATTAACATCCCTAAAAAAGTACCTGACAAAACTTTTGAAGATTCTAAAAATACTGAAAAAGATTATGATTATTGCAAAAACAGTTGAATCATAACTGCTAATATAATAATAATAATGTTCCATGATTCAAAACATGAAACTTCATTACAGGAACAATCTAGATTTCTTTAACATGATTATTTTGAAATTGTTGGCAAGCAATAAAAATATAGAAAATAGTTTTTAATTACTAAAAGAAATTAAACTGATAAATGATGTGAAGCAGGAATACATAAGATCACACTTTTCCCAGTACTATCTATATAAATGATAAAATGTGATCAAATATCCATAATACAGATTTTCTTGATACCAATTTAAAATGTACTTCAACTATCATTAAGAAGTATTTTTTGAAACACATGGCTTAAAATATTATATACTTTTCATAACTGTTGCAATTCAACCTTATACAGTCTGAATGCATTTTAAGTAACAAAAATAAAGAGGTCTAACTTCTTCAGTTTCTATTGTTGCCACCTAAATTTAAGAACAGAACTAGAAGAAAGTGGACTTCTGTCATTTTGGCTTTGAGGTGCTTTTCATAGAAACTATCAATCAATGGACTGAATTTTACACATTTAAAAATTCAAGTTGGTGCACATTATTTAACCAGCACAGTACACCATTTTTTATAATGAATCTGATAAATCTTTCATTGAATATAGCTTCACAAATATGCTTATAATGCAAAGCAATTAATAAAAAATTTTTAAATGTATTGGTACAATAAATGGGAAAAATTCAGCAATTTAAGTAACAACTAATTGCATCTAATTAGTATACAATATATATAAAATCCTACTTCTCCAGGTTTTTTCTTTTTCTTTTTTTACAAAAATAATAAAAAGAGAACAACAAAAAAATTTGGCAACTATAAGAAGTTATGCTAATAAAAGAATCACCTTGAGGTATATGTAGGATAGCTATAGTAAAGCCAGATATTACATCTGGCAGCAGATATTCAAGTTTATATTTAGGTAACCATGATAGAACTGGCAAAACAGAAGTGATGAAAGATATGAAGCAGGTCAAACTGCAGGCACATCGTGATCGCACATAGTTCGCAGCCTAATAAAAAGAATATATATATATATATATATAAATATAAAATGATCAGTTTTTTGAAAAATTCATAATTTCACTTCTTTGGAAATATATGAAACATTTTTACTTATTATTATTATTAATAAATGATGATTATGTTATCCTAAATCCTAATTATGTTATCGAACCTCAATATTTTAGTAACAGTTTGGAGTGATGCATATGAACCAATAAGTAATTTTCAATTGGACTCTTTTATTGGTATTATTATCCCAATTATTATTTATTTACTAAAGTATTTTATTTGATGCTTGTCTTAAGAATTTAAAATACATTTTTCTTATACAGATGGGAGGAGGAAAGCTGAGAATGTATTTAAAAAAAAAAAGAGCTTTCCTTAATTGAAAATGAAAATATTTGATTAATTGTGTGTATTAAGCCCAAAACATAAATGAAATATTAATATAAACTTTTAATATAACTGATATTTAGAAATCAGTTTGCATCTAAAACATTTGGAATAAACAGTAAATTTTAAACTGAAGTATAATATAAACATGTGACAATTTTATCTCATCTTTATATATATATATAATTTAATTAAAATGCTTAGAAATCCAGAATTTAAGTATATAAATGTTGTTTCATAAAAGTACTTTTAAATGAATGAATGGAAATGTTTAAGAGTAACAAATACCTTAATTTATTCAGAAGATTTATACAGGCAGGTGAGAAATATTTGTACACAGTCTTTCTAATATTTTTTTTAAAACGATTCATTATGGTTGTCAGTAAGAAACTTGGTCAGGATTAATTCTGTTTGTCGTGTCTAATCTCACTTGTCTGACATAATCAAAACAAGCCCACAAATTTAATGCTACTTAGAATACATAAATCTGATTCAAAATTAAATGCTTACCACTTTCTATTTATTTTGTGGCACACTTCCCAACTCACAGTGAGCTAAAAATAGCATGAGCTGAGTCTAGCAGATCACAGCACGTCTGGTACAGTACATTTAAAACTGCCATAAAAAAATCATATCAAAAATTCAAATTTAAATTCTTTTCCAATTGAATGATTTCTATAGTTATTCACATTATGAAGCGATTTAAAATTATTCCTTGACAGCAAATTAAATTTCGCGGCACGATTGTGTAAACATTCAAACGGTCACTGCGCAAGCTTTTCACCAAAACTTCTTCGAATTATATCTTTCTAAACATACATGGCACACGACAGTTGAAATAATTAATACTTCATGGAATAAAAATATAGTAGATTTTTTTTTTTCCTCCTTAAAGAAAAACTGGAATTTCTTTACTTATCAAGCACTTTAGCTTCTATGATATACGAACTTCAGGTACACATTACAATTCGATACATATACTAGACCTGACAGACAGCTGTTCACAGATATTTAATTATCTTAAAACAAAAATTAATTTTATTAAATTCTCTCACAACAAGGAAAAATAATTCACGATTAATTTGGAAGAAAACAGAGTGAAAGTTACCTTTTGGGATATAGTTTCTGACGGTAATACCCCATATTTTTTATTGATGTATGAATTATCTATCGGAAATCTATGAATGGATATTCGAGATTCGCTCTTCGTTCGACGTAAACTATTAGAGCAGACGCTGCCGTTCATGCTGGACCTTCGATGTTTCCAGCCTCGTTCAAGGTCAGAAGGTGACAATGAAAATCCCATATTGTAAAATGCTCGGTCATCGTGTTGGAGTTCGTCACTCCTTTTATCTTGTGACGATTTCCGTCGCAAACTGGTATTCGTTGATCTTGATGCATAATTGAAAGATGAGCACTGCTGCCGCTCTCCTTGTTCTGATTCCACAACGGGGCTGCTTTCACTCCTGGCGGCGCCAGGAGTTGATAGAATTCGAATTCTTTCGGAATCAGCAACAGGATCGCCCCCTAGGAAGTAAACGTGTTTTCAATGAAATATGACTGCTCAAAAGTTTTCGTACTTAAATACACAGATTTTACTGTCTAATATTAAAAATGCAAGAATGCCTAATCTTCAGAAATTAATTAATAAGCAATAATAAAAATACGTAAAATGACTGTAACGTTTAAATTATACGCAGAAAATTTTAAAATAAAATTTTGAAGTTAAAATTCATCAAAAAATAGAAAACAAATAAGTTGGCAACACAGCACGTACCGAAGAGAGATGAAATACAAATCTTTTTCACGCGATTTCATTATTTCCATTTTAAATAAATAGTACTAATTTGTACTTATTGAAATAGTACTAATTGTAAGCAAAGTAATCGATAATTTTAATCATAATATTTTAATAATAAATATATTTTACACTCTACACTACACTAAATTAAATTTTAGCTTAATATTTTTCAAACAGAATTTTAAAGGAAAAAATAAATAAATGGTGTTAATTCAAGAGAAAAAGTTCTGCACGTTTTGAAAGATTTCGACGCAGGTTTTTCTGAAAATTATGAGATTACTTTTTAATAACGTATACGTAAAACAAAACCATGTATAAAAAAGCTTACCGATAGTGTGCTTATCTCGTAAAATATAATAAAGGCCGCAGATTAAAAAGATAATAAACTGAACTTTTATGCAATCTGTTTAATCACTTTAAAAATTTTTTAATCGCATTAAAAGTTACTTATATCAAAACTTTTTCCAATGTACACAGATTTTAATCGTGAACAATTAATTAACAAAGCTGAATAATTTAAATAATCTTAATTATCTGTAAGATCAATAATATTTCATGAACTTGAATAATTGGAGTTTAATAAACGGTTATATAACTTTTCATATTGTTCCCACTAAATATTATCGCTTAGTATTATTTTAAAAGAAGTTAAATAATGAAGGATCTGCGCGTATGCATGTTAGTCGCATTTTGAAAAAATGACTGTGCCTAGAGGCATTAAATTTTGAATACGGTAGTCCTCCACCGGAACATGTTTAAATTTCATATTTTGTAAAATTTTGATGAATTTTTTGAGAAATTTTGATGAATTTGATGGATTTTGATTAGCTAACTCAAGAATTTGAAAGAGAGAGCAACACTGCACGGAATGAAACATTTTTATCATCCATCATTATTATTTTAAACATCCAGTGCACGAGATTGTATATCGCAAATTCTAAAGATATGCTATTTTAGAAATAATAGAGTAATAATAAATAATAAGAGAATAATAGAGTAATTTTAGTAATAATAGATCTATAGTAATAATAAGAGATCACTCGTTGTGTAATTAATACCGATTCCGGCAATTATAGTATTGTTATACACTATATATTCTTGCTTCAAATCTGGGCATCAATTGAAAGCACGAGTCGTTTTTGTTTTTAAGACCTATTTTTATTCTACAGGGTTAACATTACCGAAACATGCAAAATATATACAATATTAATAATTTAATAAAAAAAAAATCTGAAATGTTTCAGATTTTAAATTACGTCCAAAGGGGCGTTTTTTAACATTTTGTGTGTTACCTTTCTTTATTAAATATCATGTTCCTCGCACTTAAACCATAAGATCCAGTGCAACAGCAATATCGCAAAATAATTTTAAAACGAGCATATCTTTAGAATTTCCGATACAGAGACTCACGCGCTAGAGATAAAAATGTTTTTTCGGTACTTTTCCGTTTCGCCGGCGCAAATCTCGCCAAGCAGACTTTATTGGCGACAACATACAGTATACACATAAAAAATATTAAAAAAATTTTAGTTCTAAGAATTTTTTTTTGAAGGCATAAACATTTTAATATCGCTTAAAACTTTATAAAAAGACAATAAATAAAGGCAATAAATTTGTAAAAAGACATTAATTTAAGAATTTACTATGCTTTCATGGTTCAACATCCTAAGTCTCCGGTTCATATCATGTGACCCCAAACGATCTCATCTCACGTAAACTACTCTACAAAAATCTAATTCTATCAGTAATTATCTACACTAATTTCAAGTTAAATCTTAATTTGGAACACAAGTTAAAATGCAAGAAATATTTCAATGCGTACGAATAGCTTATTTAGAAATTATGTAAAACTGCAGTGCTTTACTTCACTAATGCATTCTCATTAGAATTGATAAATTTAACCCTTGACTTTCCTTTTCTATATTTTCGGCTTCGGGTAAGAGCTGTGATTGCATCCTAATTGACGTAATTACCGAAAATGGCCTTAGACACAAAACTGATATATCTGGTAAAAATTCTATGTAACTATATGCCAGTATTGAAAGAAACAATCAATCTGGTAAGAAAAAGCTGCGACTTGTTTTGAAAATGAGGCGTAAAAGGTTACCAGCGAGAATATTCGTTTGGCATCCGTTGTACCATTATTGGCGACTTTATCGCTTGCGCCGGCAAAACGGAAAAGTACCGTTTTTTCTGCACAACGTTGCCATTGCTCGCTTTGAAATCCTTGAGTTTGTTAATCAAAAATTCGTCAAAGTTTTAAAAAATAGGAAATCGATCATAAAACAAATTTCAAATTTCAAATTTGGTCTTCCACATGCTCATATTCGTTGGAGGATTACGTTATTCAAAATTCGATGACTCTATGTACCGTTGTTTTATCACGAGAAATATACATACATTTATGCAGATTTTTCATTATTTAATTTCTTCAAATATAATGCAGGACTCTAACATTTTGTGGCAACAGTTTGAAAAGTGAACCGACATTTATGAGTCCGACGCAAAATGCCAAAACGAAACTAATAGTCCTTCGGGATTCAAATCCCTTTGGACTAATAAAAACAAATTTGGGGCAAAAGTCCAACTTTACAAAAATTTTAGATAATTGTTACTTGTGACAATTAATATTTGACCCGCAACGAGGAAAAAAGGTGTAAAATATCATTAATCTTTTTCAAAAATTATTAAAATATCACTAATGAAATTCTTGCTCATCATAATTTTTTATGACAAGCTATGCCGTTTTCTTTTTAAAAATGGTGGGTACAATTATAAGCAACGCAAGACTTCAGCACGGAAGAAACTAACAAAACTAGTAAATAAAACAATGTTTCATATGCAGTAATTGAAAATAATAATTACTAGGAACAAAACAAAACAAAAAACCATGCAGATTAAACACATTATCAGAGTACTTCTTGCCACTCTCAATGGCTAATGCCGCAGACATTTATTGGGATCAAAAATAGTACATGCTTGTAGAGAGTAACGTGCTCCATCTATTAGTATTACTATATCTATGATTTTTAAATATTTTGTGACTTCGCTGTTGAATTGAATTGTATGTGTGTGTGGAATGGAATTTTATGTGCGAAGAACGTGATATTTAATAAATAAAGTTAACACACAAATCGTTAATTATAAAAAGATTTAAAAAAAAATGTTTTGCAAGCCATTTTTCTAAGAAAACTGAACACTGATATGATGAACTGAGATTAGACTTGGGAAAAAAATATAAATAAATGTTTGTGCCAACAACTTAACACTGCATACTGAGTTCAAAATATACGCTGATATGTTGCTTTTAAAATTTTTGTAATTTTACTGTTGAACTGCATATGGCGCAAGTATGAAGAAAATTATGCTTAACATAGCTAAAAAGACAAAAAGAAATGGGTTTAGCATTGAGTGAGGACAACAGCAGACCGAAGGTCCATGCAGACCGGTGGATTGCGAGCTCACCCAATGCGTAAAAAACCTTAACAAATCCTTGGCGGTCGGAAATTGGGCGATCGCCAATGAGTTGAAATCTGAACTTTAGACTCCCCCCCTTTTTTTTTTGCTTTCACAAATAATATTTATTTGCCTCAAAAAGTAATTTAAAAATTAACCCAAATGTTTTTAAAATAAAGTATTCAAACAGTATTTTTAAATTAAAATTTTAATGAGATTGAGTGGTACTGCTTTTTATTATTGCAGATATACTTGATAAGACTTTACGAATGAAATTTGAATTCTCTTGTCGTTGCTTTTTTTTTTTCCCCCTCGACACATACAACTGAGATCCCTGTTTCATATACCTGCAAATGGTAAAAGTGCCAACACGGCTTTTTTGACAAGTTAGAATATTCATTGTTTAAACTGCATCTGAATTCCACTAACGGCATTCATTTAAATTTTTCTCGCAACAAGGTATTTAAATGTCATTTAAATAAAAGTTTCGCATTCTTCCGCTGACATGGTCGAAGGTCGTTTTGACTTATTGGATAATATTTCTTCTCTACAAAGCTTAGTTATTTAAATTTTTTTAGTTATGAGCTAATATTGATGCATTTCCTTAGATGGAATTATTCATGATAAATTAAATTATTAATCCATTATTATCCTAAATTCATGATTATTCTCGATAAAGATTATCCACAGAGGCCATAGGAATTAATCTGGTTGAAACTCTCAATTTATTGAATCTTTGATCCACCAGCTGATTTCCGGCTTCTCCTGAATATCAAGGCTTCGATAATCCTATCCGTTGGAACCTCAGGAATCAAGTTGGTTCTTTTGAACAAAGTTGCATTCAAATTTTCTGATTCCGCATAATGTATTTCCGGTTTTTGAAAGTTTATGTTACAATAATCCTATCCATCGGAGCTTCGCGAAACAATCTGGCTAAAGCTCCATTGCATTTTCTGATTTGGAACGTGCAAAAATTTCCGGCTCTCCTGAGAATCAAAACGCATACACATTGAAAAGTCTACGAGGATTGAGATGACGATATTAAAGCAATCTGGAAATAGCTGGATAATAGCCGAAAGATGATTTTCGGCAATATTCTGGACAATGGGTACATTATCTAAAGAAATGCATTGAGATGAGAAAGAATCATATTAAAATGTTCTGAATAATTAAGCTTTTCACGGAGAGAAAAAATTAACCAACTACCTACATTATTTATACGAAATTAAATAGATTTCTAAATGCATTTATATACATACGAGATTATCCTCTCATTGCTTATTATACAAATTA